CCCATACAAAATAATAATAATAACAATTAATAATAGTAATAATAATAATGATAGTGATTGATATACATTTAATTTAACACACTACACAATAATGTAGACAAGTTTAAAAATATAATTATACACACAGAATGTAAGAATCGATTAAATTGATTATATTTATATTATATTTTTAATAGTTAAATAAAAAATGTATCAAAAAATGTGTTGAACCCAATATGTGCTAAATAATAATAATAATAATAATAATAATAATAATAATAATAATAATAATAATAATAATAATAATAATAATAACTACTTCTTTACTCGCTTTCCCTTTCATGATTGAATCACTTAAGCGATGCCCCATAAAAAAAATAAATAAATAAAAATAAAACCAAACTTTGAACCGAGCTATTGTTTAATTGCTACGCTTCCACCATTCGAATGCCATACGTTAACAAATGGTCCTTAGGGATTTTCTAAAGATTAGTTGAAATTATGAACAAAATTAAAACACCATGTATGACGTACTGCTTTTTTGCAAAGTTCAGGAATTTCTATAATTTTTTTTTAAAACAAAAGCATGACAATAATTATTTTTGTAAAGTTGAAAGATTTTTAGTGGACATTCAGCTTTAATTAAATATTAATTAAAATATCATTACTTCTATTTTAAATTTCATAATAAAATATAAAAATCTCTCATCTCTCAAAGTTAAGATTTTTTTTTTTTTTTTTTTGAATATGGGGAAATATGGGGGAAGAAGAATTTTTTCAAGTGATTAATAGAAGTCCAACTCTCAATCAATACAATATAAATACTAAAATTTGAAAACGAAATCATTTAAATCTGAAGACTTGGATTCTCCAAATTAAGATCTTTTAATTCACTTAAAAGTGAAATTGTAATTATACTGCTTAAGTAGTTTATGAAATGTTATTATTTTAATAAAGCCTTCTCTTATTAAATAAAATAAAATAAAATAAATCCGCCTTTTTGTTTGAACAAATTAAGCATTCATTTGCAATTTGACCAAGTCTTGCGGGTGGAGTTTCGAAAAACACATAAACCCACCAAGTTTAGCATGTTAACCCCAAGAAAATGATTTATGCCCAATTTTAGCACAAAAGCCACGTATCGTTACTTGTGAAGCACAAAATGGAAGGTCACGGTTTGTTAGCAGTTAAGAACAAATCATAAAGTATCAATCCACCTCATGTTTTGAATACCATTCTTTTTCTCTCCTATCACAAAAATTCAAACCTCTCTGTACCTGGTGGTGGTGGCCGTTGATGGTTGTAGCACCAACCGCAGGCCAGACATGGAAGGTGAAACCCCACCAACTATAAGAAAACTAATGGTGGTCGCTGACCCGACGCCGCAGTCAGCCGCCGCCCTCCAGTACGCAATTTCCCATGCAGTGCTGGAACAAGACGAGCTCATCCTCGTCCACGTTGAGAACCCTAATTCATGGAAGAACACGTTCTCTACCTTCCTCAGGAGGCCAAGTCTTTCGTCTAGCTCCACTAGCTATCTTTCTGAAGGAGGAATAGGTGGAGGAGGAGGAGGAGCAGGTGGTGGTGGTTCGGGAGGCGACGTTGATTTCTTGGAACAGATGAAGCGCGCATGTGAGATTGCTCTACCGAAGGTTCGGGTGCGATCAGAAAGAATAGAAATGGATGGGAGGGACAAGGCAAATGTGATTATTTCCAGAAGCAAAATGCTTGGAATTGATATTATCATCATAGGGCAGAAGCGGAGTCTCTCCTCGGCAATTCTCGGGTGAGTTCAAGAATTTTTGCCTTTTGTTGTGATAAAATATTTAGGGGACAAAAATTTACCGCGGAATACCTAGTGAATTAATATGGGTTGTTGATTATTGTATGAATCCCGCTTCACCCCACATGATCAACAATCCATATTAATTTGACGTACTTTCGGCCTTGAATATACATGTTTCCCACTTATTTAGTTCCTTTTTTTATGTTTATTTAATTCTTTTTTAAACAATAAAGATATAGTTATAATACCACATAAAGTTATAAATTTATAATTATGATATATTATTAAATAAATAGTTATTGGTGAAATATTAAATAAAAATGATAATGATATATCATAATTATAAACTTATAATATCACATAATATTATAATATTATTTTTTAAAATCTTAAAAAGTTTGTTAAAAGGAATGTAAGAGATATGTCTAATTTAAGGGGAACTAAGTGATGAATTTTTGTTACAATATTTGAAAATATTATAATTTGATTAATTACAAAACTCATCTCTTTGCACCCCACTCCTCCTTCATTTCACTCATCAAACATAACTAAAAAATAAGTTTTCTTGTTTTTGCAATCTAAATTATATTAGATTATAAAGTAAAAACTATTAGATAGGGGACAAGTTTCAAAACTAAGGGCCCACCTCATCCAATTGTTTAAATTATATAATTTAACAGTTTAAATTGCAAAATATATATTTTTAAATAAAAAAAAATTAGAGTAGAAATACATAAAATATATAAAGAAAATTATAAATATATCATTTGATTCAACACACTTATTATTACACTCATGAAAAATTATTATCTTTAAATTTAAATTAAAGGTGAGAATTTAAAATTAAAGGTTTTAATGGCTTCAGTATTCTACCTTTAATTTAAATTTGAAAATAGTATTTTTAATAAATGTATTATAAAGTACATTGAACCAAATGATATATCAATTATTGTCCAATATGTATATGTTTCTTAACAAAGCAAATTCCTACTTAGTATTAATTAAAAACCTTAATGGTCAAGATCAAAATTTAAACCACTGTCAAATACAAAATTAAGCATTTTATTTATTTTCTCCATACGTGTTTAAAAAAAAAAAAAAGCATTAGGCAATTTATGTCAATAGTTTCCAGGCTTTCAATTTGAAAACACTAAAAGAATTTCGCTCTAGCTAACAAATAGCTAAAAGTATTTTTTCTAATTTATATTCTAAATACATTACAGGTATAATTAAATTTTTTATATTAATTTGTATTAAAAATAGTAAAAAAAACTAATATTAATTTTATCACTGATATTATATGAACCATTTCAATTAATCAGTTAGTTAAATAAAACTTATTTTTATTTTTTAATACTAATTAATATAAAAAATGTGTTCTTAAGGGTAAAGATTAAAACCCTAACTGAAATAAAAAAATAATATTAATAAATTATCAAACAAAAAAAACCCTAAATAAAATATCATTAATAAATTATCAAATGTGCGTAATTATTAATGATATATTAGTCATCTTCTCAACCTTTCAACTGACTCTTTTTTTGCAGGCACAAGCGGGCCAGCGGGTCAATGAAAGGGGCAAAAGCTATTGACACAGCGGAGTTTTTGATTGAGAACAGCCCGTGCACTTGCGTCGGCGTCCAAAAGAAGGGCCAAAACGGAGGCTATCTTCTCAACACTAAATCCCACAGAAACTTCTGGCTCCTAGCTTGATTAACCCATTTTCATCCAATTACCAAATTCAAAGTCTGCTAAAGATATCTAAAAATTTGCTGCCAGAGATTTAGTACACTTTTGATAAAAAAAAAAAAAAAAAAAAAAAAAGAATTAATCCATTGTTTTCTTCCTTTTCCTTTTCTTTCTTTTCATTTAGTGATGAAATGTTTCATCAGCCAATTTTTTTTTCCACTTAGTGCTATTGCGTAGATGTTTGTAAATATTGACAGTTAATGATCGGTTGGTTGGGTCTTTAGAACCAAATACATTTAAAGAAAATTATGAACTAAATATAGGTGTTTGGTAAATTTATATATTTCGAAACCGCTATAAATAAAGTGTTTGGTAAAATTTTTATTTAGCGGTTTGAGACTAACGGATAGCGGTTAGAGTCCAAACCGCTAACAGATTGAAAAAGTTAGTTTATGTAGTTTTTTGTACCAAATCACTAATGGATTAAAAATTTTTAATTTTATTTACAAATTTATCCATTTTAATTTTTTTAATTTGTGGTCACATTTTTTAATTAATAATTATCTAATAAATTTCAATTTTATTTTTTTACCTTTAATAACATTAAGTGATTATAATATTTTTTTGTACATTAATTTATAATTAAAAAATATATTATCTTAAAAGACAAAATTTATTAATTAGACAAA